ATGAGAGATGATTGTCTTTCATTGTGATCAAAATAATAATAAAAAAAATGATGCACAATTTTATTGTTCATTTTTAGTAATTGTAAAACATTATAATATTATTTTATAAATAAAAATTTTAATTAATAAATATAAAAATCATTTTAAATATATGATAATCTATTATAAAAAGATATGTAACTTTTTAGATGAATATGGAAAAACAATTCATCAAATTTTTGTTAATTTCTTTTATCTTTTCAATGATAATTATTACTATTATGTGAGTCTCTCTTATCTTTTAAAAATTAAAAAAAAAATTATTCTTAAACTATATCATTTTAATAAAATATTACAAAAAATAACTAAATACTTTAATTCATACATTTAAAAATATTTAGCTTTTTTAATATAATTTTATTGAAATAATGTAATTTTAAAATAATTATTCTCCTAATTTTTAGGAGGTAAAGCAAATAAATATTATTATCTATATACATATATATAACAAGTGGTGTACATCTATTTTATCTTTTTACCTCTCAAAAATTTTAAAAAAAAATTATTTTAAAATTACGTCGTTTTAATAAAATCTTATTAAAAAAATAAAATATCTTATTTTTTAAGGTATAAATTAAAGTTTACTTTAGTATTTTACTTATGGTATTTTATTGAAACAATATAATTTTAAACAAATTTTCTTCTTAATTTTTCAAAGGGAAAGTGAATAAGCACCCATCTCATATCTCAACAATTCATCTCTCTCTACTTTCAGTATTGAAATCTATTATAACTTTAGGTGAAAAAATAATTATTTTTAATAAATATAAATAAATCTCAACAGTTTAAAATAAAAGATAAATGATTAAGATTTTATATGTATAATATATAAAATTTGTGTATCGATAAATTCTTACTTTACGATATATAATTGAAATTTGTTATGAATTTTTAAGTAAAAAATTATAATTATCTTTAATAAATATAAATAAATTTTAATTATTAAAAATAAAAAAAATATTTTATATAAACATGATATATAAGATTTGCATAAATAAATCCTTATTGAAGCCAATTGGCTAAAAGCCTTGCTGAGGGTGAATCCCTCAACCTTGGTACTGGGTTCAAACGCCCCCAAGTTGTAATTGTTTAAAAAGGAGGAAAAAAAAAAGGGTTCGATGTTAACTGAAATTTTCTCAAATGCAAATGAAATTCCCTGAACCTCCAAAAACCAAAATATATATGTCAACCAAAAACTGTGAACTCCGAAGGCATGGCTGCTGATGCCATTGTGGCGAAGGGTATCCAGGTCTCCTTCTAATTTTGTTGCTTTGCAGCACTGTCTTCTGTCCTCTAGATGTTGATCTTTTGTGTTTAGCTGATTGATCTTGTAGGGCTTTGTTACCCCATAAACTGATTTGTATTCGATTTTATTTTAACGCATGTCTCTATTTATAAAAAATAAAAATAAAAAGCAGAGACTGTGAATTCAGTAAAAATGCAGCACATCTAGTAAAATTAATGAAAAAACTACTATTCATGATACAACGTGGCTATCCCTTCCAGGAAAACTGCTCCACTTTCTGTTACCTACAAACATACAACCCTAAATAACAGTTCCTACTTGAGATGAATTTTTTCTTATTCTGCTCTATCTCTCCCCATTAGTGAGACTGAATGAGGAAGCAGCATCCTTCAGTTCAATCTTTTGCTCTTGCTGGATTGACTGCACCTCTTCCTTGAAGACATTTTTGTTGCTGAAACAAAACCATATATATCTACGTTAACACTCAGTAGAGCAAACATTACAACACGAATTCATGCTTGCCAGATCCTCAACTTATAACTCCTAACCCAAAATGAATTAGGTTAGGATGTCGAAACTTTCGTTTCTCAGATCCACTTATTCATGTGTAAGTTAAATTATTAACGGTTTAATGATTGACATGATGCAAATGTGAATAGCCCCCAAACCAAATGAATATGGAATGTAAGAAATTACCTGCATGGAACCAGTCTGGCATCTCTCTCATGAAGACCCCCAATAATTTGGTTCTCATCTTCACCTAAATCTGCAAAAACATTTTTCCCATGCACAGTTGAGAAAGGTGAAGATTCAGCAGCCATCTCAGTTTTAACAGACCCACGGTCGAACACCTCATATACTTGAGACGATAAGCCATAATTACCACCGTAATCATGAACAATCACCTTTTGTTTATGCTGTCCTAATTGATTCTCGTAATGAACCCCCTGTTGCCGATACTCCATGGCCGGTACAGGTGCCCGTCCGGCGTCGTACATTTCGAAATCATCATCATCATCCACGTCAATGGTAAGCCCCTGCACTGCTGGGACAGTCTCCTCCCCTTGAATCACCTCCCTGGCTAACTGGGTCTTGCAAATCGCAATCTGGGTACGCACCATTTCTAGCTGGGCCGTAGCAAAGTCAATCTGTTGCTGCAAATCGCAGATAATCCTGTAACACCCCCCAACAGGGTCGCCAGCACGAACATTGCCCTGATATATGATCGAATTCATGGCAATCTTTTTCTGGTGAGGGTCGAGGTTGGCCGTTATCTTGACGATGTTGCTGACGCCGAAGAGACGGTGGGCGTTGAGGAATTCTCTCTGGAGGTGGGCGGGGAAGAAAGGTGCAAGAGGGCAATTGGGTCCGCATTTCCTTCGTTGGTATTTACAGGAAGCGCAAGCAGGGGAGGATTTAGCGGCCCTCTGCTGCATGGCTTTTCGGGTGTTTCAAGAATATATCACGGCATGAATGGAGGGGTGGATTCAAGTGAAAATCGGAAAATGAAAGGAAGGCGAAAACAGAGGAGAGAAAATAAAGGAGAAAGGAAGAAAGTAGTTTGCTTTGGATTTCTCTCTTCCCAGATATTTTCGGGACGTGCTGGCTGTACGTGTTTCGTTCAGTTTTCAGATTTTTATTTTTGAAAATCAAGATTTTTTTCCTGATAATTAAAAGAAATTGTTTACATTTTAATTTGTTTTTAAATAATTTTAAATTTGTGCAAAGAGTGGTTATATATTTGTTAATTCGTTATCTAATGATGGTATAGTGTTTGTTAGATTTGTTAATTTCCTTGGCTGATATAGGAGTGCCCTATAAAGTTGTTCAAAAAATATTTAGTCTTGAATTACCTTAAAATTAGTTTGAGATATCTTATTCATAAATTAAAAAAAAATATAATATTTGTTTATTTATTTAATATTATAAAAAACTTAATTTATTGAAAATAACATTGGGATTATTGAGTTCTAATGTAACTTTAAAATATAATAATGACAATAAGAAAAAAGATAATAATAGTATTTACTTAGTAAAAGATAATTTTAATTTGCATCTCTACAATTCTACCACGTTAGGATAATTAATGACGATGATACGCGTTAAAGGATTTGGACAATTATTATGACATATCGGTCTTTAAAATGGTTTTTTTGAACATAAAAATATTTTTATCCAAAATTTAAAACAAGATTTATCTGTCATTGGCCTTCACAGAATTAAGAACTACACACAAATTTATGGAAAATCTCAACAATTTATTTTTTTTAATGATTGAGATTTATTATAAATTTTTTACATAAGATTTATTATAATTTTTTAGATAAAAAAGATAAATATCTTTAGTAAATATAAATAAATTTTAATTATTAAAAGTGAAGAGGTAAATGATCAAAATTTATGAAAATGTAATATATAAAATTTATGTGTAAATAAATTTTTACACTTGAAAATATAATAGTTTAAAACTAACAATTAATAATAGTTAGCAATTTTATCTAACCTAATGATAATAGTATTTGAATTAATAATAATTATTATTATTATCAATTAGTTTGTATCTACTAATTTAAAACTTTAATTTAGGGTTAAAATCAGATATTCAAATGTTTATATTGTTAACACAACTAATCTTCTAGCACTTGGTCCTTTGCCCAACTGACACCCAATTAGCTTGAAATGCATTCCCTCTCCTTTATAGGTGAGTTTCGAGTCCGCCTCTTGATTACTTGTTCAAAAAAAAAAAAAAAGCACAACTAATCTTCTAATATATCAAAAAATAACAATTATCAATTATTAAATTAAATAAAACTATGAACTATTAATTTTACACAGTTATATCAAACAACTTATTTCTTAACGATGGGCCTGAATTAGACTGCTCAATTGTTTTAAAATTCCATTTCATTTTTAGTTTTTATAGGTGTAATTTTTATTTGAGATTAAAAAAATCAAAAACATCTTGAAATTTTAAATATTGGAAATGATAATGTAGTAATAAATGAAAATACTTTTAATAAATTAACACATACAATAAGAATTTTTAAAGAATTTTTAAAAAAATCTTAACATTATAAATATTGGAAATGATAATGTAGTAATAAGATGAAAATACTTTTAATAAATTAACACATACAATAAGAATTTTTAAAGAATTTTTAAAAAAATCTTAACATTATAAATATAAATAATATTATAATTATAATACTAT